ACTAGACCGTTTATCATTTGGCTAAACTATTTATGTTTAGGGTGTTGTTTCATGAAGGAAACCTAGACTGTCTATAATTTGGCCATGCCATTCCTTTATTAGCTATGCTATCCTACAGCTGATCCTTACACCATTTTCGTATTTACTGATCTATTCGACATCCTTGAATTTTTGGTGGTGACGGCCGCCCATACTTACTTGCATAATTGGGAATTTTTGAGAATTCCTAGTAATTCCCAGAAAACTGGGAATTCAGTTCGCAAGGGTTGTACCCTACATCAACAACAAAGAAAATGATTTTCACCTGAGCAGTATACTTAAAGCGTACTCTTACCCTGCGTTAACAACAAAGAAAGTGATTTTCACCTGAGCAGTATACTTAAAGTATACTTGTACTCTACATCAACAACAAAGCAAGTGATTTATACTTAAAGTGTACTTCAGAAAGGGTACTGCAAATGTACTTAAGTGCAGTACTATTGAAGTATTATTGAAGTATGATTGCAGTATAACCACTATTGATGCAGTATACTTCTAGTATACTTAAAGTATACTTCAAGGCTATCTTCTTTGGTAAGGGGAGACATATTCCCCATTAAAATTGTGGAGAACTACAACATGCAAGCAGTTCAAGACCAAGTAATGCAGGCTTGATCTTGGTAATATCTTAGATGGATGTGCTGGCTGCAATCTCTGCAATTCATAATTTTAATTTTTCTTACCGAGTTTTTCTGTATATCATTTGTAAATTTCACTCAGAACAATGTTTACTTATTTATCTTTTGTTTCTATTTCGATTTTATATTCATTTAAGACAGTTCTAGTTAGGTGTGTCTCCTATTAGCATTGGTGATTCCCCAGTGCTAGATGTAATTAACACAGTAATGAAGTCATTATTATCATCAGATGCTCTAAGACCTATGAAGAAGCTTCCTTCACAAACACCCACCCCTCCCTTCCCCCCTCCCCCAACAATCCTGTCAAACATTCAATCACTGCCCCTAAAAATCAATATGACTTTCATGTCATTTCAAACAAACCTGTCAAGCCACAACAAGTTTAGAAACGTGAGGGTGCCAGGCAAATGCCCTGATGGAAGAGTTTTTCCTGTAAGATCAAGAGATCACAAAGACAAATAGAGAGTAAAACACAGGGATGGCTTGCTTATAAAGTATTTATTAAGTTCTATTGGTAGCTAGTGGCACCCTTTGTAGGTAGAGAATTAATCCATATCAGAATCTCTATTATTCCACCTAATTTTAAATCACTTGCTTCTATTAACTAATTGAGGTGATTCAAGATCACTTAATTTTTACTCATAAAATTGAAACCATTCATACTATAAATACTGTATTTCCTTGAATAAACAGCCTGTAACTGACACTCCGTCACAGTTTGAAATACGTACCCTAATTTTAATCGCGACGATTCACTTGTACATAACACAAAAAAAATACAGAATTAACAATGCGAACTTAAACCCAACAAAACTAAAATAGAATGAAAGGAATACGAGAAACTACAGGAAAATACAAACGAAAGTGTAACTACTTACAAGATCTGTGCGGCACTCCGGAATAACAACGACTGAATGAAAATTACAACTAGGATGATATATAGCGGATAAAGGCTAAAATAGACTAAACAAGGCTACACAATACTCAAAGGTGATTCCATGAAACAATGCTGACAAACTTAATTTACATTTTGACAGCACGAAAAAATACAGACTAATAAATACAGAACTGAACTATTGAGACGAGAACTATTTACACTAATTACAATTAACAAAGATGAACGACAGAACTGATAAAAAAAATAACTCTCATGGCTACACAGCCAAATTTATTAAAAGTTTGGCAAATAGAAGAGGTTACTTATTTGAAGGATAAAGGAGGGTGCTTCATTAAATAAAGTTACAAATCATATTGGTTTAAAAATCACTTTGATCCAAACTTCATCTCAATCTTAAATGCAGAGTTCAACCCTTGCGAACTGAATTCCCAGTTTTCTGGGATTCCTTGGAATTCCTAGGAATTCCTAGGAATTCTCAAAAATTCCCAACTATGGAAATAAGCTCTGATTTGAAAAGCTTGGAATTACTGGGAGTTTCTTGGAAAGGAAGGTTTCAGTTTTGTGAGGACTTGGAATTCCTAGGAATTCCTAGGAATTCTCAAACATTCCTAACTATGCAAATAAGCTCTGGTTTGAAAAGCTTGGAATTACT